TTTTTTTTAATTAATTTTTTTCACTCGTTTTCAGTCAAGTTTAGATTCTTAACCATTTTTTAGATAAAATATTTTTTGTTTGTTAAGCCACTTAACCTTTTGTGAATTTGTGAATCATTCAAACATAAATGTTCTGTCTACACATAACAGACAGCTTGACAAAGAATCAGTTTTAGTTGCCTTTAAGCACTGTTACTAGGTCCCATCTTAAAACATAGAATTTGTTCTGATTTTGTTAGCTGAATCTATGAAAACTGCCAAAGATAGTATCATTTAACAGACATAAATAGTATTTTTGCACTAGCTAACACCTGAAAACCTGGCATACCTCAGCATGCTGTGCAGTGTGTCCTTAAAGAATTTGAAGAAATTGGACAAGTGGAGGACAGAAGAAGTGGTAGGCTTTTAAAAAAAAACAGCTGAGTAACAGTATCTGAAAGTCATGCACAAAGTCATGCAAAAAAAAAAGAAAGATAAAAGTGAAAATCCAGCAACGACCTGACACACAACCTGAGACATGCAATCTTGCAATCTCAATCTGTAGTTGACTCTTCACTGAAGCCTCAATAGAAATGGTCTCAGTGGAAGAGTCACTGTGAAGAAGCTATTCTTAAGTAAGAGAAACAGGGAGAAAAAGCCAAGGTATGCCAAATTACACAAAAACTGGAGTAAAAATCAATGGCAATATAGTGTTGAGTCCAATTCTGGAATATCTGATTCAAACCATCATCAATATTTATGAAGGAAATTAAGAGAGAGGTATAATAGTGAGTGTTTACAGCCACCTGTAAAACACAGTAGAGGCCCTGTCATGGTTTGGTGCTGCATTTCTGCCAGTGGTGTTGGGGATGATGCGAAGATTGATGAAATTATGAACGCAGAAAATAAAGTCAAATTTTGATCCACGATGCAGTACCATTTGGAAAGCATTTGATTATCAATGGCTTTATTTTTCCGCGGGTCAATGATGGTAAACGCAGTGCTAATGAGGTAAAAGCCTCTATGGGGAAAAAAACAGAGTGGAGCACTAACAGTCATGGACTGGCCTTCCAAGAGCACTAACCACAATATTATTGAAGCAGTGTGAGACTATCTTGAGAGAGAATGGAGCAAAAGGCAGGCAAGAAGAGTGTTGAATGTCCTCGAGAACTGCTCCTAAGTGCTACTTAAAGAAATTACAGGAAAGCTTGCTAGAGAGAGTTCAGAGTGTGTTGAAGAGTAAAGGTGGTCATACAGAATATTGACTTTCAATTAATATTGTGCAAACTCTTCCTGTTGCCTTATAAGCTGTATTTTTACACATCGCTTTAAACAATTACAAATTTGTAGTGTAAACTTACACGTGTAGGTTTGCAATGAAGGACATAATTCACAATAATTCATAAATAATTCATAATTTCCCTGAAGGGACCTCCCCAAGGGATTAATAAAGTTCTATTCTATTCTGTTCTATTCTAAAAGTTCTACTGTCCAGTAGGGGTGGGGAAAAAATCGACACTGTGTAGTATCGTGATATTTTGTTTGCTAATAATGTATCGATACAGGGACAGCAGAAATCGATATTTTGTTACAAAAAAATTTTTGTTGGCTGACTTCAGAGCATGTTGATCCTTTTTCTGAGCAAGAATCCTGACATTCCTTCACTGTCCAAATGTGTTTAACTTTTTTTATGGCAGCAATAAACATGACAGTTTACTTATTTTAATTTAAGACATGTTTTATTTTAATTAAGTTTAAAACTTTTTTATTTAATGTAAAATTATATTTTGTTTTAATTTACTTTCAAATTCTTCAGTTGCTGAATGGGCTGCATAGTTTTCATAAATTGCATAGTTCAGAATAGCTATAATTGTACCAGATGGTTGCATTCAGTTAAGTTGGACTAGATTGTAATACAAACCGTTCACTCTGACACCAATATAACTGACTGAAATGAGACAAAGACTGAGTGTGAGACTTTGTTATTAGATAAAATGAATATTGATAAAGTTTACCTTTATGTACAGAATCTGAATATCGCAAAATATTTTTAAAAATTGCAATAATATCGTATCGTGCGTTCAGTATTGTGATAATATCGTATGGTGGGATGTATGGTGATTCCCACCTCTACTGTCCAGTGGATTCTTGCACATTGAAGGAGATGCAAAAATGTTGCTTTAAGATTAAACCAGGAGGAGTCAGGAAGGAAATGTGGTTCATTACCAGTACATCATCACAATGCAGCAGAGGTCAGAGGAATCTTTCTTTGAGCTTTATCAAATTGCTGTCCCAAGGAGAAGAACAGTAAATAAACATCATCTGAACTTTGGTACAGGCCTTTTGAACTTCACTTGAGATCCAGCGCATTCAGTGGAGTTGACATAGTGTTTTCTCAGTTTTGACCCACTGTGTTTCAGACTACTGCCGCTTCAGTGAATTTTAAGAAATCATTTTGCTGTTCTTGGCTGTTTGCAGTGGTTTTATGTGTGGATACCTGAGAGTAAACATTGTGAACAAATGGAAAAAGGCTTAAATTTTTTGTTGTTGTTTCTGTTCTTGTATCAGAAGGTCATGAAAAACACTGCCTGGCTGTCTTGCTGAGACACTTGTGGGCTGCGACAGTGCTCAAAGGAAAGTCCAATTGGGTCTTTTCACCTGCTGTGACACTTGAAAGGCCAAGCACTCCCACCTGGGGCTTTCACACTTGCTTTTCTCTCCAAATCTTTAGAGGTGTCAACCAACATAAAGAAAAGGAAAAAATACAAATATGTTTGAGTTGTCTGTCCTTGTCTTTCTTCATTTACTGCATTATGTTGACCGACTCTAAAAGCAGAATTTTCACCCTTTTTTTTTTGGATTCACAGGTTCGTCAAGAAAATACAGCGCCACTCATTGGTGCCTGCAGAATATTGCACAAGAATCAGTCGACAGCTCCGATGAGGAGTTCTTTGACGCCAGAGGTTAGTAAGACATTGCATGTCCTCATCTCCTCGTGCCTTCATCTTGTAGTTTTTGGACTTTCCAACATTATTAGTGAACGGAATAACCTGAACTTATGATCAGCATTTCAAAAAACCTCTATACTTGTTTTCCTTGCTGCCCTTTTCACTGAAGGAGCTGAAGAAAATGTATCCTGTAGGCATTATGATAGATAAATTATTCATTACTGAAAAGTTCCAGAAGAAGCATTAAAAAATAGCAGTAACACTATTTTAAAAAGGCATCTGTGCTGGCAAGGACAAGTAACAAAATAACACAACTCTTGCTGGACAAAATGACACATCCTCGTTTAGCATTTAGGGAAAAGAGGCCAAAAGGAGCTGGTGCAGCTGCTAGCAACAAATACAAGATGATTTGTCAGCATAATGTGGGTGCAAGGCAGACAAACAAAGTCAGGAACAAATCTGAAAAACAAACAGAATTATACAAAGAACCATGAATAACAATGAATAACAAATTTCAAATGATTGCAGAGTTGTCTGTTTCCTTTACTCATCAAACAAACACTACACAGACAGCTTCGATTGGTAGTGCAGGTATTTTTCAGTGTCTTCTCTCAATGATGAAAACTTGCTTAAAAGAGGCAATAATCACTAATCTCAACAATTAAGAATCTGGGATATCATACAAGATTGAATTCCAACTACAGAATAATAAATCAAATAATAAAACTAGACAAATGTAACAGGTTGTGACAAAGGTTAATTAGCTCCTTTTATTTCAAAGCAGGAGGTCCGTATTGTGTATTTATGATTGCTGTAGTGACCGGACTTGATATAGATGACAAATGAAGTCTGTCACTCTTAATTGTTGTCCACTTTCCTGCTGAAGATCCTTTTAAATTCATTTAGATGTCAGCTTGACCATAAATAGACACACTTGAGAACATGCCGGACTGCTAGCCTTTTCACGGTCCCAGTGGGAGTTAATCAGCGAATAAGTACAACACTTATCGCTCCAATTAGCCACTCCAAGTGCTTATCCCCAAAGAGTCTGATGGTAGAGACACTTATCAATTATGGCTTTAGTAGTGTAACATGTTCTTATTTTACATCGGTGAATATCCAGCAGTGTGTTTAGAGTTTCGGGTGTTTAGTGTTCCTTTGTATGAGATGAAAACATGATAAAAATGTGCCTCTGGGGTATCAGATAAAAAGTGCTGCACTCATTTCTATTTTTGCATTTAAGGGAAAATGTAAGTCACATGTGCGGTGTGGAGGAGCTTTATATAACATTGTCTATTCAGTCTTGTCCTTAACTTTTGCTTTTATTGATGCCATTTTCCCTTCCATTTTTATTCAGTTTTGTTTGATTTTCCTTCCCTCCCCTCTCCCGCGTTGTCTCTTTGCCAAAAAAAGGCACGTTTACAACTCATAGTCTTAGAAAACATTAAATATTTATCCTTATCACAGCTGTTGCAGAGCAGAGCTGTGCATTGCACTGCATTTTATGAGACCGGCATCGAGGCGCCTATCAGTGGCGAGGAATCACTGGGGGATAAGATAGCACACATGCCTTATATGTGAGCCGATGTACCTCATCACCCTCACACTATCTGCAGCATGGAATTCCACTCTCAGCCAAGAAATATCCCACGTGGCTGTGAAGCGGAGAGAAACGGAGATGTCCCTTATGTCCTTTGATTAAATATTGGTAGTTAATGGGAAAAGAAGCTGCAATTATCTTGACGATATTTTCTTTGTGTTTACGTATTTCTTGTTAATTAGTTCAAATGAACATTTTGGCACTGTTGGAAAATGTGCTTATTTGCCTTCTAGCTGTGAAGCTTCATAGTTAGAGTATGGACTTGATATTGGAATCAGTCTTTACACCTTAAATAGGATTGGCGGACCTCTAGTATCATTGCGGAGGTCATCTATCATCCTAATCCTGTGAGAACCGGCCATGCCTCTAATTTGCAAAATAAAAATTCTACTATAGGTTTCCAACCAGAGAAGTCCTATGTTGTTGGGAGATGCAAAGAGAAAGACTGCAGAGAATATTCAAAAATGATGATCCGCTGAGGCAACGCCTGAAGGGAGCAGCTGAAAAAGAAGACTTCCTGTGTGACCGTTAGTCCCCTGTGATTTCAGGGTTTTTTTTAAAGCACACTTTTTTCTGCCTCTTTGCTGCACGATGAATATGTTGTATGCTGTCTATTAAAAATTAAAAGTTATACAGTGCAGTTTCAAGAGGATATATATTGCTACATAACCTGGAGACCAATTTACAGAGAGAGCTCAGTGCATGGTAGCATGCGTTTCAACAGGCTCAGCAGTCATTGTGTGCAGCCTATTGATGGTTATGCAAATAGCAACCAGAGATGTCAGTTATTACATTGTTTGGTAATAAGTGACATGTTTCACAGTTAGAGGGTAATTTCTAAATGACACGATGTCCCCACTCGTAATAATCCCATGTCAAGATGATTTAGGTTGTTAATTAACCTTTTTCCTAATTTCCTGCCTGTATATAGTGTATATAGTGTAATGTATAGTGTATAGTGTTGTATATAGTGTATCATCTTACTTTTTTTCATTGATTGTACTTATTTGTATTTTTGTATTTCCTTCTGATATCTGTACCTGAGCTGAGGTGACGCAAAAATTTCCCTGTTGTGGGATCAATAAAGTCTTATCTTATCTTATCTTATCTTATCTTATCTTATACCCATGAAAGCTAACTGGCTATAATCTGTAGCTTCAGACATAAACTGCTGTGGAACATCTGTCTCCTCAAAGCAGTCAAGATAGCTGAAACACTGATCAAGGAGGATGCTATTGTTTTCCAGTCATGAATTTTGCATTTTATAGAGAATCTGTAACATCAAAGTTTCCATATCCATCTGTTGTGAGGTGAAAACCGTGTTGCTTCTTTGTAGAGTGGCCTGAATTTGTATTCAAGACGCTTTTCACAAAGCACCATTCAGTTTTGGTCCTGTCTTTTATTTCAGGCCATTGCGTCCATCTCTAGTTGGCTTATTGCTTGTTTGTTTGGTCTGTGGAGAGCAAACATATCACATCTTATTTTGTCATCTCTCACCGAGCACACCATCGGAAGGACTTGGGGCAGGCCAGTGTTTTTGAAGTATTAGGTTGTGAAAACCCTGGATTATCCTTTCAAGTTGGATAAAAGCAAGACTGCTTCATTCTGCAAAGAAGGCTCTTAAGAATGAGCACAAGTGAAAGGATATACAGCGTAGCACAGAGAGGGGAGCATATTCTAACTGAGTTTATTTTTTCCTTGTGGTCTGTCTGTGACTTTATAGCCTGAGCTCAGGGGAGAAGTGGAGCTGTGTCCTGCAGCAAAGACAACAGAGCAAGTTATTCTAAACATAAACATGCGCTTAGAATGAAAGATGCCTTCCTTAAAAGGGAAACCAGACCAAGGTCATAAAAGGTTGTTGAAATTATGACCCACTACAGCTGCTTGCTAACTGCAGGCCTCTGAGTGTTGGTTGTGTATAACTCGTCTCTTTTTTTCCTGCAGGCAGAGGGGATATATGGTTTTCTCATGAAAAGTAATTTAAAAGTTAGAAAAGTTGAGAGAGAAACTGAAAGAATTGGATTCCGAATGAAAGCATGATTGAGTGGTTAGTTTGTCATATTATAGGCCCACCACTCAAACCATCACAATAAGCTTGGGGGAATTTTATTTATGCTGTTATGATGAATGCCTTCCTCTGCACTGCGTTACCCAGTGGACAGAGGAAAAAAAACACATGAAAATGTATGAAGACTGTCAGAGCATTTCCCCAGATTTCTGCTAAAAAGATGAGCCCAGGCTGCCTCTATTATCACTTTGGGTTTGTGTGTGTGGGGGGGTCGGGGTGGTGTGGGGGGGTGGGGGTGGTGTGGGGGGTGGTATTGTTTTAAACAGTTGTTTAAACCATTTCCTTGATTATGAGCTGTATCTATACAGATGGTTTTGTAAATACAATATATTCTCTGGATCTTCCTGGAAAGGAAATGATGCATCTCTAGGGCTCTTGCCCACACTGCACATGGCATTTTAAGCTGAGTATTCAGAAGTGGCTACACTGTATTCCAGAGCGTTCACTTCATCTAAGCTTTTGAGACCCATCAATATAATTGGTTGGTCACAGCATGCATCTATTACAAGTTGATCAAAGACTGCTTGTAAAGAGTTTGCGAAAAAGAAAAGATGAAAATGCACACATAAGCGGAGGACACAAGGGTTTGACATTTGTGAGGTTTTTCATCTGTCATCCAGCAGATTGGTTTTGCAGCATTAGTTTAGAGCATCACTTTTGTCCTTTTGGGGGTTCACAATAATATGGTGACAGTATACTGTATGGGAAGTATGACTTTATGTATTGGCCCCTCATTTCTAGCATAACGTAGCAGATTAAGATTCCTGTAGTGTCCCATTAAATGAGACTTGAGAGGCCGGTTGCAGCATTCCTATTAAATAACGTGCTTGTATTTTCTGTTCTGCCTGATGAATGAAAACAGGATGGTATTCTATCAGTAGTACAAACATTCAGTCAGTGAAGGGGCTAGGCTAACCGTAGCTTAGTTTAACAAATTGACAACTTCCATGTTTCATCTCAAGTATGAGTGTTTTATAGTTAGTTATCAGAACAAAGCAAATAAATAAAACTATATTATTCTGATGTTCAAATTCATTCTAAAAGATCTTTAAATACTACAGCTTTCACTAGATTAGAATTCTCTAACCAGATATTAACCAATAATAATTACCAGCCAAATAATTACCATATAATTATCATACAATTTCTAATTAGCATATCATTTCTAATTAACAGAGCATTTCATACATATTACTGAAGCTGGGTCCCATCTGTTACTGCTAGTCACATATGTGCTTTGTACAGCAAAAAAGACGTGTTTTTAGCCACAGCGCCTCACATTCTTTGCCTCAAATCTCATCCTGCTGATGTGCCTCTTTCCACACAAACCTCCTCTTTGTCATTTCT